CATCATAATTACTTACTTTCCACATTGAGTGAATCAGTTAATCCTTACAAGTCCTCTGAGACCTTGATGTGTTATCAATTTACTTMTATAATAAATTTGATAGTATAATAAATCATTATTTATTTATCCTCTTTTATGGCAATTTTAATAGGGTAATCATATTGGGAAGGAATGTATAGCCTGGGGAAAGGTCATCTTAATTTGATTGTGTAGAAAACAGTCCAGTTGGTTTTTCAAGGATGCAAGTAATGTTTCTGTACTACTTCCATAATTAAAGAGGGACTGATGACAACTTTTCAAATCCCGGGTGTTTTTCAAGCCTTGCTGCTGAATAAAGACATAAAAAAAAAGGGAAAAAAATGCGCTGGATGTTCCTACAGAGGAGCAAGGAGAAACCTTCAGAGAATAATTAGAAATTATAAAGATTGTATCTCACAGCAAGAGATGCTGTTTTCTMAAACATAAAAGCTTTTTAAAATGCAGAAGTTTTTATTGAATGAGGCAGTTTGCTTTTATGGCCTTTTATACTTGCTAAACAGATCAAGTTATTGGATACAAGAGCTTTAATCACATGCTTCAAAACATAGATYCACCTTAGTGGACAATTGTCAGAAGGGGTTTTTTTGAGCCTTAGGAACAGATATGAGTTCAGATATTTGCCTCTTCTCTAACACGAGCACCAGAGTGGGAACCACTGTCTCCAATGTRTTCTTTTTAAAAATCTTTTTGATAATAGTTATTTTGCTGAAACTGTTTCAGATGTTTCAAATATTGTGCATTTCTAGCTGTCTCTGCTAYTTCATTCTAGATTTTGCTTTCCCCTTAATTTTCCATTTTATTTGCTGCTACTTCATTTTCTCTCTGATGCTCTAGCATTTTGAGGCACATTGCAAATGCCATTAACTTTCCTTAATTTAATATCTTTCAGATACATTTAACTTTCTCTTTAGTTGAGCTGCAAAGTTACAGAAACACTGTGGAAATTGTTCTTGAATTAAGTTAAGAATTATCAGTGTAATCCCATTATTGGTCTAATCCTGGCCCATTAGTGCAAATCATTCTCATTTATACCTTCCTGGTCCTTATAACCTTGTGAATGAGACCTTTTCTTTGCTGTCTTGGTAAAAAGAATTTCTACAGTTTAGAGAAAAATATATAAACCTAAATTGYGGCTTACATTCTTTCATGCTGTTAAAAAATCAAAAATACTTCATTTTAAAATGCAATGAAATACTGAATGAATACTGAACTGATACATGTTTACTATTACGTGCCAAGTACTCTCTAAGCTACAAAGGAAATTTGCATTAGAATGTATCTTTTAGGTTGAATAATAAATATTTATATCTAAATAAATATACTGTTTATAGTGTTAACAAATACTTAGGCAATATTTAGGCATCACTAGATACCTTTTTACAGAAAGATAAATGTTAAAAGCAATATGGAAGAACATCACTCATGTACCACAGTTTGTACAATACTGCAGTTATGCAAGATGAATGCAATACTTTTCAATATTACATTTAAATTACTGAAATTTTGTTTCAGACAAGTATCCATTTTCAAGGTGCTTCTTTAGCGAGACATTATGCCAAAATAAGTGGCTAAACTGGAACAGTGAATTTTGAAATTTCCTTCTTGCTTGGCAGATCAGTTCTCACCTCCAACTGGTGGTTCTCATTGCAGGCCACAAACTTTGCATTTTCCCAGTTTTTCTATTGTGTATTTTGAACAAATTAATTTGCGTCATAATTAACATGTCTGTGGCAGCCATCCTAGGAGATCACACAGCACAGGCTCTTTTATTGTGGCTGAAGGTATCTACTGCTTTAAAASAACTTGCCTTTGCCTGTCAGCATGAATGATGCTGTAAAGCAATTYTGTGATCAATTCTCTGAGAGCCCCATAAGTCTCTGTCTCCTGTGATTACAGGGGATGGCAGAGCAGCCCAGGGCTCYGCAGACTGTCAGTAGTAGGATYCTTTGGGGTGTCTCAAATRYRGTCAGCTCCTGGCTGGGGCAGAATGGTCCAGTGCTTGTTCTGCTGGGCACTGACCCCTTTATATTGGCTGGCAATGGGAAGAGTTTCTGTACAAAGCTAAAAATGAAAGCTGAGATTCCTATATGTCTTGTCGTCTCAGTATTACAATACAATAATGGGCTTTCAAAGTGGCAGATCAAAGGTGTGGAATTATGCAGATGTGAAGGAATGTAAAGTAAAAGCTTCAATGTATTTACCTGAGCAAATCTAAAAAGTATAAAAGTTGATGTTTAATTCTAAGGATTCATATAACAGCTGAYATGAAGATTTCCTTGTTCACCTGCAGGTCTCTGTGCAAGGTTGGAGTAAACTCATCTGTTGGACAGGTCACAGCAGAGCTGAGTCTGCTCCTAACCTGGATAATCATCTTGTTATTTATTAGACTAATAACCTTCTGCTGTCTTACATTGTGTGCACTCAGAACTCACCTAGTTAAGGTTATATCAAAGACTGACCTCCAATGACAGGATTAAATTGAAGTCATTTTCTCTAAGAGCTTAGGTAGAGCATTTGTGTTGTCAGCAAACAGGATTTTATCCTCCTTCCCTCAGGCTTTATCTCAAATGCAGTGTCAGAATGCCAGATGGATTTGCTTTAATATTTTTTTCTCCAATTTTTAATATTCTTTCTATCACCTTTCAGCTGTCACATTCAATAATTGCCTTGGAAAGGAAGAGCCCAAAAGTAGCCATTGTATAACAGCTCTGCTTAAATTCTGAACCTTTTCAGGAGTATTTTCAACATGCATACATTACTTGATGTTTAATCCTTAGAACTTTCAGAATAGTCTTGAATATAGTGTTTTCTTGGCTTCTCACTTGCAAAAAAACCCTGAACAAACCAAAGCCACCCCCCCCCCCGATCAAACAGAAAAAAACCCAAACTAAACAGGAAAATATTTATTATCTGCAATAGCATAAGGACTACTTTATGATAGGATTTGCTTTAAAAAAATCTGAAACATAAATCATATTTTTGTGTATACACTTGTAGAATTGAGAAGAGAAAATACAGACTCAGAGCAATAAATCAATGAATAGTAAATCAACTGAAAAAACAATCAGTCCTAAATATCGTTAATTGTAAAAGAAGTGGTTTCTTTTTTTTCCTTTTTTTTTAAAAAAATAAATATAGCAGACTTTAGTACTTAGCTAGCCTTGCTGCTTATGGAACTTGATGAATAAAAGCGATTGTCTACTAATTAACTTCTTTGGAAAATGAAATRACCCACTGAATGAAATGAAATAATGCCTTTTTTGAGTTGATTGCACGTATATTCTGGCACCCTTATTTGCAATTTGTCCATCTTTTTTTTCCCATTTACAAAGTATTATAAAAACCATGGACGTGTGCAGTTTACATCCTTGACATCACTAAGTCTGTGTGTGAATTACTCCAAAAATTATTTCACAATACGTACCTTCAATTCAGTTCTAGAAGATGAGTATAACRCTGCATATTCTAGTACAAAATACTTTATCCTCAAATGTAATAATCTTTTACCTAAAGTGTAATACTTGAACAGAACTTTTTTTGATCATGACAGATTAATTKCTGTTAAACTGACTTCCAAGTACTGACCTGCCTCAATCTTTGTTATCTATGATTAATGGTATTTGCAACACTGAGTTTGTCTGAATATTTTGGTTGTACACAGAAGTTCCTCAAGACCTAAAATACTAGGAATTCCTTTTTATTCTACTTTTGTTTAAAATCCAAACTATGGGTTGGTAATTTTGAAAATTCAAAAGCTAAAAGTGCAGGATAAGGAAAGCTGCTCTCCAAATAAACTTCCATTGAAGGTAAAGTTTGAATAATTAATCCTTTTAGTGGAAGTGTGATGGTTGTAATATTTTGACTGGTTCTTGTTTAGAAGAATAAGTTGCATCTCACACTAAGAATGCTTGTAAAAAGCCTTGTAAGTTTTTGTACTTTCTGTTTTAGTTTTGCAAATAGTATAATATATTTATCCTTGTACAAGTTGTATAAATATATATCATCTGTGAAAGCACAGATTTGTGTTTAAATATGATATGCATTTGCTCTCAAATGAATAGTTAGGACAGGGACCCATATTTAAATTAATGTGATTTTGTCAAAGACTAAATTTTGGCCTTTTCATTTAAGAAACACATCACAAACTGTTGTGAAGGGTYAAGGGTATTTAAGAGGTTAAAAAGTAATCTGTATCGTTTGTTGCTTTTAAAGCTTGGTAAAATTTCTGGTTAAACTAGGTCATAAAGAAATCAATAATTTTATCTAAATTGCTTTTGCTTATCTGGTTATAGTTCTGTACAAAATAGGCCAAACAGTCTTCAGGAATCTTTAATGGGCAGACAATAATTTCTTGTTTAAAATAAGTCACTACTAAGTTTATATCTTCATATAAAAGTATGCATCATTTACAAGACCAACTATGATGTGCATTTCTAAAATTCAGTATAAAGCAAATAATTTTAGGAAATGTCAGTCAGTACACACTGAGTAAACATCTACAGCTGTAGTTAATACTCCTGTGAAGTGAAAACACTTTTAGTTTGTCAAGGCCTAAGTTCAGAACTGATAGCAGTTCTTGATCTGGTGGAAATAAGCTAAACAGAGAGATCATAATTAAGTAATCGYCCAGACAAATATTTAAATCTAGAAGGCTTTGTATTTAAAATAGTGCATATATTGTTTATGATTAGATATTTTCTTGGGCTGTTCTTAATATTTTCAGGGCAGCCAGGGAGCTGAAATAATATGGGGTTGTTTTTCTTGAGATTTAATGACGAATCTGTTTTTCATAAATATACCTGTACTAGAAGTATAGTGGGAATCTGAGAGAAGATAAAATTTCTTGTTCTACTCTTCCAGCTGGAGATATTAATCAGTGAATTGATAGAAGCATTAAACCATTCAAAGCTCATGTTTTTATGCTGAATGTGTATTCTGAGCAGAGAACATTTGTGTTGCAGTATGAATACTTCAACGCTGTGCTCATCAACGAACGGGACGAAGAGGGAAACTACCTGGAGCTGGGCAAGGAGTTCATCCTGGTGCCCAATGACCACTTCAATAATTTGCCTGTGAACATCAGCCTGAGCGATGTCCAAGTACCAACCAACATGTACAATAAGGGTAAGGAAAGAGTGGCTTTGTTTTGTCATCCCACTGCCCAAAAAAAGGCACATYCTTGCTTAAAAATGGAGCTGTTGATTAACTGTGCATTATCTGTGTTTTCCAGTYGGCAATAACACTGACATTTCTGTGGAAAAATGTTCTAAGTATGACAGTTCTTTAATATCTTTTGTTCTGTGGCAATTTAGCAGTTTAATGAGGTTGATGATTTGCATGAGCTCTGCCAGAGMGTATGGCAGAATATGTTTATTCAAATGAATTATTTTCCAGAATTTTCAAATTATTTGAACAGAGCTTACATTGTCATTTACCACTTGTATTCTATCTTTGCTGAGGTCTAGAGTTGTCTTTGAAAGATATGGGATAGGTGGAGAATACTTTTCTAGGTTTACTCTTTCAAACTTCTGAGAATATTTTTAGCTGTGAATGTTGTATTGCAGCTCTCTACACCCCTGATGTGAGTTTTCAGGTAATATTTACAAGGAATAATTTCTACTCCCCTATTTTCCACAGGAGCTGGACAGCACATAGAACTAGCAAACAGCAAAATTAGTTATTAGAAGCGATGAACTTAGGTCTAAAAATTGGAATGCAAACTAAACTCAGATATACTTCTACTAATTTTCCTTTCTCCATTTCCCTTTAATCAGGCAGCATGAACTTGTATTTTTGCAGTGCTTATGTAGCACCTATTTTCCTCAAGCCAGTAATAAAAGAAAAATTAAGAAGGAAAGCACCAAAGKTTCCTAACAATGTCTACAGTATATTTGTCATTGGTCTGTAGAAAACTGCCTAATCCAATTAACTGGTTCCTCTTCTGTGTTTTAACGACACTAAAAGACATCTAAAAGGATATTAAATGCTTTCCTCTTAATACATTCCAGGCTAGCTATTGTGGTAATTCATGCAGGGATATTGTGTAATCACCAATGGAAGGCAAATTATTTCCAATAAGTTGATCTGGTAAGAGAAGCAGAGGATATGACAGATTCTTTTTGAAGTTAGGATCCTGACCTGAGAATCCTGAGAAGCCAAAACTCCTACAATAAAGTCTAAAACTAGGGATGAAAGAAATAAGCCTTCCCAGAGAGTATTTGAAAGGTTGTGAAATGATTAGTGCAGGATATTTTGAAAGGACTTGGAAAATGCTTAAAGTTTCTAAAAATACCAAACCAATACTTTTTTTTTTTGTGCAAGTGCTAATATTTATTTAATCAAGCCTGTCTATAAATTAATTCATTCCAGAATTGCTAAGGAGGAAAAAGAGAAGGTTTGTGAAGGAATGTAGAAGTCAGGCAAATGTGTTTTTGTGGAGAAGGAAATTGTCCTGGGTAGTCAGTGAGAGCAGCACAGCTAAAAAACCTTCAGGTACAACATGTGCTACTGCTGGTATAGAATTCCTTTTATATTCTGATTTCTTACAGTTRAAGGCCAAAGTCAGGGGACTTGCTGCAGCTTGGTTTGGCCTCTCATACAGGGATTTTCTATTCAGATGAGGAACAGAGAGCTCTCTGATGATTCCTGTTTCTACTTTGTCTGATTCAGACCATCCAAAATTGTCACTWTATGCAGATGTGGAAAGAAAAAAAAGAGCATTTTAAAATCATTTAAATGTATTCCAACTGCAAAAATCCAGTTTGTAACTGGCATTTTCCTTGCACATGGACATAATAATCTTTGTTTGGAGCCTGTCAATGTYTGGAAATGTTGCTCTTGCCAAGAAGAGAACTATTTAAATTTTTGTTGCCCAGTTCTGTAATGCAGAGGGGTGATAACAAGTTAATTAAATCCTAACCTGAGGGTACAGGCAGTAGATATTGATAGGTTTACAACCAAGTGTCTGCACAATACCATTTCACTGTAAAGGGCCTGTTGTTCATTTCAAGGTTATGTTTTATTTTATTGAATTACTAGGGACAGCCATAGCCCAGATTCACAGTTGAAAATAAAAAAGTGTGATCACTGAATAGTCAAACACAGGGCTCTTGAGTCAGCGTTGGAGAAAAGGAACCCTATTTGTTAGTTCTAAACTTTTCCCTTAATTTTGGTTTTTGTTTTTTTTTTTAATTGTACAGATATTGATAATTTGCAATGGGTTCAAGGAAGAGTCACAAGACTCATCAAAGAATCGACAAATGGGCCATGGACTGACACCACAGGAGCTCAGTYCATTTAGCTTATTCAAGAGATGATTAAAGGTTTAATTAGTTGTTCTGTAGTTAATTACTAATACCAGGCTCTATAATCTGGTTGCCAAAGACTGTAAAAATCCAGTGAGTGAAATCAGGTTCCATTATTTCACAAATTGCACAACTGTGGGCTCAGTTAAGCTTTGGGAAAAGCTTYGGCCTGGTCAACTTCCCTGTGATCGTACCCAGCTGTGGAATCACTGAAGTTCATGATCCCTAACTGGCCTCTAAATGAGATTGGCCAAAAAAATCTTGGCACATAAACATATTGCTATTTTTCATATATCCTGGTTTTTTTTTCCACAGAAAAGCTTAGAAATATTGATGGTTACAGCAGGATTAAATAATTCTCATTATTTAAGTAAGATGCTCTGTGATAARTCTTAGCAARCAGTGGCTCTTCCATCCCCAAATTYGGTAATTATCAACTGTGCACAGGTTTGTGACAGAAAGCAAGGAAAAGGTTCTTAGTGAACCAGTCATGTACAAATATTCATAGATGAAAAAAGGGAAGAAGTAARGTCTGTTTTTCATGTTAGAAGGAAAGTTTAATTTTTGAATGTACAGAATCAATCTGAATCCAGTTTGGGCAGGGCAGCACCAAGGCAGAAGTCCAGGTGTATGTAAGGCACTGTCTCATCCAGATGCTGTGTTTTTATTATAAAAATGTACATGGCTTATWCAGAGGCACAAAGTGAGTTCTCATAGGTGTTATTTTTTATGTCTTCCTATTAATTTAGAATRTAAATGATTTGGGATGTGCTGCTGCCTTGGACATACCTTGCAGATATTCTTCCACAGTTATGCATTCCTGAGGTACTCAGATATAACTTTCTGCATATCAATCATATTTTAAACAGCTATTGTGGAAGAGACTAGTAATAATGAAAAATTATTAATAATATAAAGTTTGTATGGTTTCAACATTTGATTTATTACTTTCTGAGATGCCAGTAGTATATTTAGAAGAATCTAGGAATGTGACATATAATAAAAAAGCAGCAGTTGGAATGTGGGCAAGGCTTTCTGGCAGCCATCCACAGGAGCGTGGCAGTAAGATTGCCACTGGGGAGAGTAGGATTCTGTAATGGATTTATGTGCATGAGAAGATGATAAAAAAGACTCAAAACTGATATTGCAGATGCTGACAGCTTATAAAAGTGAAAGAGAAATAGAGTAGCATATTGCCTTTTGTTAGTATGAGAATATAGGTAACCAAGATCCCCCATTCTTTGTCCAGAATATGTGTTGTATCTGAGATGAAGAACCTAKTCCAGTCTTTTTGGTTTTTATTTTTCCTAAATCTGTCACCTCCTATTTGCCCCTACCTGTGGACAGCAGTGCCATATTTTCTACTATCGAGTTTTCATTCAGCAGTTTTTTCATGGAAGAGGCTTATGAATTCTTGGATAAATGTGTTTTTCAGAGGAATGCCGATGAAAACCCAAGCCCAATTGAGGGTCAGTGTGTCTTGGTGACACATGTTCAGACAGCTCTGAGTTATGGCCCCTTTTGGAAAGCCAAGCAYAGCCCAGTGCAGCACCAGAGGTGGCACTCAGCAGGGTCTCATCCACCTCTGGTGTCTTTGCATGAAATCTAGGAGATATTCGAGGAAATGTCAATTTTAACAGCTCCTGGTTTTCAGCTTTTGCAGTTGGTCTCTGTTGATGCGACAAACTAAACTTTACATTTGTAGCTTGTAGAAAAGGGAACAGGCCAAGTTYTCTTCAATGATTCAAAAATATCAGGATGCAAACACTTCTTGCCTTTCAAACTGTCTTTCTCAGTGTTCTAGTTTTTTTCACAGTACGAAAATTAGAACTAAAGAGAGACTTCTGTGCCTGAGAATTTTTTCATGTATAAAATTATTATTTATTTCTAAACCCCTTATGTTTCACAAAATCTTTGCTGTGTAGCTCTGCCTCCATATTTGGTCTAAGACTGAGATTTTGCACTAAAATATTACATACCCAAAGACAAGCTTCCTAAATGTTCATAAAAATAAAAATACCTTTTAGAATGAGCCAAGTTTTGCCTTCCTCATTGGGTATTTTGACAGAAATAGGGTAAGGGTTGACCATGTGTGAATCTGTCTAGCAACCCTGGGCAGCRTTCTGAGATGTGGTGAGGTAGACATGTGCCAATAGAGGTAGACTGGAGAAAGCACARTTTCTATGTTTGGGTCAGATCAGATGCAGCTTGAGGAGGATGTTTGATTYTGCCTTAAAAAAATAGAAATAAAATAATTTATCTTGGCGATAGAAGGGAAGTAGGCTTATATAAGTTGATTTAAAGTAATGGGAGGTTTTTCCTTTGTTGTCATTTCTAGTTTACTGAATATATAATCTTGTTTTACTTGCAGAGTTTTATAATGAAGAAATATTTCCTAGAGGATAAACCTTCATCCCATTAACACAGCTGACARTGCAATTAAGTGCATTCTACAGCTTTGCAAAACCTACTTACCTACTGAACTTTTTTTGGTGCCTCTTAAAAGTCATTGAGCAAACAGCCCAAACTTAACAACTTGATAAAACCCCCATATTTTCAAATTTTAAACACTCTCTATTATCCTAAGTGTATTTTTGTTCTCATCACTAGTAAACGTATGAGGAAAAGACATATGCATATAGACATATATGAAAGTATATGTATTTATATCACTATCTATATGTGTGTGTATATATATATATAGTGATGCAGTCTGTTCTCACACCAAAGGATGTTGACATATACGTGTGATTCACTGAAGTATTGCAGGAAATGTTATGGACACGAGATAGTTTTGTTGCCACAGTTCTGCACCTATGT